CACACACATACATAAATGGCAAAAAAATATTATTTTGTGGCAAACAAAGCTTTTTTTAACTCAATTGTTTATCCTATAGATAGCAATGAAATTCAATGGAGAAAAAAGGGAGAATTTTTCTTATGATTACAATATGAACTCAAACATTCTTTCAGCAGCCGTCTTTTTTTCTGTTTCATTTCTCCCAAGGAATTTAGGAGAACATCTGAGATCAAGATACTTCAATCAAGGAGAACTCCATCAAGTCTCATGAGCTTTGAAAGAGCATCTTATGAGCAATACAATCCCTCAATTCACTTTATCACCATAGATAAATAGTCAAATATGTAAATGTTCCATTTATTGATTCAGCTATGACCGTAACATTTAAATACATATCCTGAGCATTAAAATGGGATTGTCATCTCATTCTGATCTCGCAAGTTGTCACCTGTCAAATCAAACGTGCAAATGTAAACAGACGGTCTCTTTCTTACCTCTACGAAATAAAAGCATGGCAGCAGTGTCACGCTCTCTTTTATCATCTTCCCTTTCAGTCTTTCTCTCGCAGACATCGTATTTCTCTCCGTGAATAAACGCCAATAACCTGTTGTGTCCTACTAAGCGTCCACCTTCATCCAGCAAATCAAGCCGTCTAGATCAGCTGCTGCTTGCTCCATTGAGATGCATGATGCACACAGAATCAAACGACACACACAATCTACACCTTTCACCATGTACACGCACTGTTTATGTTGCAGTGGAATATGATTTCAATTGAATTTACAGACAGAGAGGAAAATATTGCCGGCGAGATGACATCAGATTTTTCAGATGAGGGTCTTGCGTCCTGACGCGCATGCGCACAAGCTGCGCATTGTAGAATGGCTTATATTTTGATATATAATAAAAAGACATTCAGACATTTTTATGTTTGGCTTATTTGTCCAAATACAGTATTTGTTTCTTCATCAGAACAGAGTTTGAGAAATTTAGCATCACTTGCTCACCAGTGGATCCTCTGCAGTGAATGGGTTCCGTCAGAATGAGAGTCCAAACAGCTGATAAAAACATCACAATAATCCACAAGTAATACACATGACTCCAGTCCACAAGTTGATGTTTTGTAAAGCGAAAAGCTGCATGTTTGTAAGAAATAACTCCATCATTGAGGCATTTTAACTTTAAACCATTGATTCTGGGATAAATACTAGTCCATAATCCATAATAACACTTCCTCCAGCTAGTGAAAATGTTCATTCTCTGTTGTCCTCTCACATCAAAGTCCACCAACATTGTTTAGAAATTTGTAAATGTTACTTGATTTGTACATACTTCTCTCCTGATTCAGACGAGATGCCTTTTTCCACTGGACAAAGTAGTGTTATGCATAGAGGACTCACTTATTTTAGCTAGAAGCAATGGTTTGAAGTTAAAATCTTACGGATTTAATTAATTAATACTGATGGATCTGTTTATTATAAACATGCAACTTTTCACTTCACAAGATGTTAACTGGAGTTGTGTGGATTACTTGTGGACTATTGTGGTGTTTTTATCGGCTGTTTGGACTCTCATTCTGACGGCACCCATTCACTGCAGTGTACTGACGACGAGTGATGTAATGCTGAATTTCTCCAAATCTGATCCGATGAAAAAACAAACTCATGTACATTTTGGATGGCCTGATGGTGAGTACATTTTCAGCAAATTTTCATTTTCTGGGTGAACTATTGCTTTGCATATTTAATAAATTAAATATATAAAGACAAAATATTTAATTCAGAAATCTTTTAACCCTTGAAACATGCTTTTGCAGTGTCATTTGAAAGCATGTAATGCCAGTAAATTCTGTCTGCATATGTCACTTCATCGGTTCTCTTATTTATTTATTTTAATAAAGCATTTTCCACAAGCTCAGGGATGCTTTTTATTTAAACATTACTCTCTTGAAATAGTGACCTTGGCAGATACAACTTGCAAAATAAAACATGCTTTTATAAACTTTTAGAAAGCATGAAGTCTAATTTAAGTTTGTGAATGCTCATGTTTTTTCTCAAACTTTTCATTTAAAGATGTCATAAAAATGAATCTTACTTTGAGAAAACATCTCTGAAACTTTAAGAATGCGCCTACCCAGTCTGAACACTGCAGGTGCAACCATCAAAAGATGATCACTAGTGCCACCCAGTGGTTTCTGCTGCTTATATTTTCCCCACTGAACTCACTTATCTCTCTTTCAGGCATCAAAGTTAATGGAAAAAATGACTGATCTAAAAAGTCGCAAGGAGTTCTACAAAGATCTCACCGTGGAGGTAAGAAACCAAATAAATGTCATATACACAGACCTGCATAATAATGACAAAGTTGCTTTTTCCATGACCTTGAAGCCTGTACACGGTGTAAACAAGACAGCTGGCTTATATATAATAATTAAATGCCTCCTTGCTGAATAAAAGTATTAATTTCTCCCCCCCCCCCCAAAAAAGAAAAAAACCTGGGTACTTTTTTTCTATGCATGTGGGATTTTTTAAAAGCCTTATTTAAAGTATAGCACTTTTTCCAGCTCAAGGACACTTAATTAACTGAAATGGAGGACCTTGATGAAAAATGAAAAAATAAATTAGCAAGGCAATAGCACTTTAGCAAGTATCTTTTATGTCAATGGCACAACAGATTAGTTATTTGTCATAATTTAAAATGTTTGAGCAATATTAATAGTTAAGCTTGTCTTAGCAGCATCACCTCTGCAGTAAATGGGTGACGTCAGAAAGAGAGTCCAAATAGCTGATAAAAACATCCCAATAATCCACACGACTCCAGTCCATCAATTAACGTCTGGTGAAGTGAAAATCTGCATGTTTGTAAGAAATAAATCCCATTCACTGCAGAGGATCCATTGGTGAGCAAGTGATGTAATGTTACATTTCTCCAAATTTATTCTGATGAAGAAACACACTCATCTGCATCTTAGATGGCCTAGTACATGTTCAGTTTTGGGTTAACTATTCCTTTTAGGTACTAATATAACCTTTTTTCAGTAGATAAAGCACAAAAGTGATTGACAGGCTAATGATACACTTTTCACACATTTTGTCTGACAGTAAATTACAGACGTACATCAGTAAGTCTCTGAATTGAGCTGAGGAAGAGAGTCGCCTACACAGTAGTGCTCAGCTGCAGAGGGGGGTGTTATATAGGAGGTGTTTAACTTTCCACTGCAGTAGTGATGTGTGTGGGCCAGAGTAACGTTCTCTGAGATCCTAGTGCCTCCACAGAGGTCTACATCAATGCTTTAACACTCAGAGATGCAGTACTACTCATCCCTCAGTCCTAAATACACAGAAACTCTTCTTAGCACAGTAATTCGCTGATGTATTGCAAAAATACTGCATATTGGGCCAACACAGAAGCTCTTCTAAGAGTAAATTAGAAAGATGTATTGCATTTAAGTGGCAATGTCTAATGCTTTTATGTAAGTGACATGTATATATCTGTAAAGACTGCTATTCAGGGAAACAGATGCATTGTAGTGTATAGTTACTGAATGCATTGGATTATTTATGATATCCCACTGCACCTGACAGCTTGTATAAGAATGTGTCCTGCTCAATTTTATAAAACTTTTTTCTCCATATCATAAAAAGCATTGGGGAAATGTGGAGATGGTTTGAGACAGCCTGCTGAAGCAGCTCAGGTGTAATCATATACAGAGTGAGGGTCCATCTATGTAAAAATAAAATAAATTAAAAAGAAAGAAACCTATTCAGCCTGTCAAAGGCACTCTAGCCTGACTCACAGCAGTCAATCAACCCTCACTTTACACATAATGCAGAAAAAGACACACCAACACAAACCAACAGCAGATTTCCCATGATAGACAGGTTTGCACTTTGTGTCTAAATGTCTTTTGCGCTTTATATACAAGAAAACTTTGCAAGTTACACAATTTAAACTGGCAAAAGACAGAGAGAAATCTGTGAAAAGGAACAAGAAACTATGGGATTCAGATTGAAACAAAAGAAAGGTAAATTGACATTAAAAACAATATACACTACGATTTAAAAGTTAAAGAAATTAATTATTTTAGTTTGATATTATGTTTAATACACAACATTATAAATTATACACAATTGACAGTAAAGAAAGATACTTATAATGCTACAAAAGGTTTTTTTCTTTCAAATAAACTGTTTTTTTGACATTTCTATTCATCAATTAATCCTGAAAAAATGCATCACAGGTTTGACAAAAATACTAAGCAGCAATAATAATAACAAATATTTCAGCTTTGCATCACAGGAATAAATGACATTTTAAAATATTTTGCAATAGAAAAAAGTTTTTTAAATTGTAATAATATTTCAGATTATTACTGTTTTTACAGCATTTCTGAACCCCAAACTTTTGTACAGTAATGTATTTATATATGACATTATATAATTTTATACGTGTATTTTATGTATGTATGTATGTATATGTGTATCTGTCTGCTCTTCCATTAGCAATGAAAACATGAGAATCTGTGGTTTTAACTGCTTGTTTGCAGATTAATTCTTATAGTCAAATCTATATTAGTTCATCTTAACAGACCCTGATAAATTTTTTATTACTTTTTGGTAGGTAGAAGTCTGCAAAGACATTTTTCGCTCACCAAGCTTGTCAGAGGCCTCTTGAGATCTTAATATCATGCGTGGAGCGCTGCAAAAAAATCTTAATTCCCTCCACGATGCGGCAGTGTTTACTGCTGTCCGAAGGGATCACAGTTATGAGAGACTGTGCTGAATTAGCTTTTGTTGTTAGCCTGTAATGAAATGCTTGGTCATCGCTCCCTGTGGGCCCGTCCTCATTAATCTGAAGGGCTGAGGCTGGCACAGGGCCGCAGGAATGAAACGGCTGTTTGCTGTGCCACGTCAATCAGCGACGTGGCTGTCTGCAAATATTTGCAAGTGCTCCGAAATGCCTTGTTGAGATCTGTCCGGTGATGAGTTCACAGAGGGCTCCGGTTTGAAATATCAGTCCTAAGAAGGAAGAGTACTTGATAGCATTTCTGTTCTGGGTGGCACTTGTTTCAAGCAGAATTGAGATTTTCTACATAATTGTGTTTTTGTGATGCAGGAACAGATTCTACATGAATTTGAAGGGTTGTTCAGTCTGGTGTTGGGGAAGAAATTTGAAACTCATAAATTTAATTAAATTGCAGCTACTCTTATATATTATATTATATTATTGTTTCATTTATAATATTTATTCATTTTCTGCATGCAATAAGGCTTCCATAATGCGCCCAATAATTTGCATGGATTTGTGCTTTATATTTTAGTCCTTGTTTAGTTCTTGTTGTGTAGTGAGTGGCAAGGTTGTTCTTATTCTAGTGGCCACTAGGTGGCACTTCCTTTCTGCAGTATAGTGTGGCACTATTGAGGCAAAAGCATGGCTCCATATTTCATTTCTCAGGTTCCTTTTAAAGGCAAGAGAAGTCGACTGAAGAGTTCTTTCACCATCCAATGATGCCTGTACCGTGGACAGACTATAATTTCTTCTTGATCCAGTGAGCCTCAATACACTAATGATACACTGCTGGCACTTAAAACATTACTGTGGATTTCCAAACTGCTGGACAACAGTATTTGTACATTATGGGTTTAGTGCAAACATACATTTATAGTTATCATTTTGACACCATTATTCAAGTTTAAAACAGCATAATGTACTGTATAGCAAAGGGCGTAGAATTTAGTAGGGATGCTAGGGACATGTCCCTACCAG